AGAGAGAGAGAGAGAGAGAGAGAGAGAGAGACAGGGGGCGCTTTGTGAAACTGCTAAATACCATGTAACTATAGGATATTGTTTTCACCTCCTTCACCACCATCACCAGTAACATTTAGTGAGCATGAGCATGTGATTCCTGGAGGAATCTACACTGTGGGGAGGGAATAAATACAAAACAGCACAAGACGCTGTTGTGGTTTGTATCTAGTTGTCCCCCTAAAGCCTCATGCAATCACAGGTGGGGAGTTTCAAAGGTGGCTGGATTAGGGTGTGTGAATGTGGATTAAGGGTGTGATCCTGAGACTACAGGTGTGGATAATGAAAACTCCACCCTGGGCATGGCTGGCACCAATCAATAGGCTTGTAGCCTGGATGAAATACAAAGGATCAGATAGAAGGCAGGCTGCTCCTGTACTTGATACTTCTGCTCCTTTCTGTTGCTTTATTCTGCCTGCCATACCACGAACTGTTTCTACCCTTCGATGCCTTTCTTCAGGTCACCCTGCCTTGGAACCAGCTGACTGTTGTAGACTGAAAATTCTACAAACTATGAGCCAAAATAAACCTCTTCTGCTTTAACTTTTTTTGTTGTTGGGTATTTTGTCTCAGCAACAAGGAAAGTAGGTAAGGCAGATACAATTATTGCTTTAGGTAAATTCATGAGTGGAGTTGATGTTTAATTCTTGCTTGCTTGGTTAATGTGAAGACTACTGTGCAACCTTTCTGCAAGAATTTTCAGATCCTGATTTACCTGTTTCTGTTTGTATGTTTTAATCACCTACCTGGCTTTTCCAGTTGTTTGGAAGGGGCAAGTGATGGTTGGGGCCTCCGTACTTCTCATTATAGTAGAAATAAGTATTGAGATCGGGGAAGTTGCGGTTCAGATCCACTCCATTTGCATTGTTCCTGCCAATCAGATACCCAGATGTGTTGGGGCCCTTGGAGAAAGGTGAAGAGATGAAAAGATGAAGGTTTCAGACAGAATCTTATATTCAAAGAACACTGTATAATTTTTACATACTTGTTTAGCCTATCAAATGATATAGCATTTTCTTCTTTTACTTATCCAAAGACACAGTGGTGTGCCTCAAATTTTCCCAAGCCAAATGTTGGAGGTAGAAATCCTAGTAAAAGCTCTGAAAAATGTGGGGGTGATACCATTGGTAAGTTCATGCAGATACTGGAGAGCAGTGGTGTGGGCCAGAGTGGTGTGGCTTCAGGCAGATCCAGTTAGGACCCCGCCCTGACCCCAGCTGCTTGGGCACATAGGCCCAAGCCAAAGGGGTGCCCAGAGAAGAGCTGCACAGGTGCACAAGCAACAGCCAGAGGCTTGCCCTTATACTATCAGTAAGTGCGCAGAGACCCTAGCCAGAAACATGTTCAGACACCAGCGACATGGGTGCACATCCCCAGACAAAGGCCCTCCCAGACAATAGCTACATAGGAGGGCAGGCCCTAGCCAGAGGCATGCCTAGATACCATCCCAAGTGTGCATAGGCCCCAGCCAGAAACCCTCCTAGACAACAGGTCAGCTCAGGGATCCAGAAGGCCACCACTCTGAACCCAGGAATTGGTGTACTGGTGAGCAGCAGAGAAAAGGCCATTTGGTGGCTTGCTGAGACTTGCAGACCACTGCGTGAATAAAAAGTTACCCCAACAGAGGAGCAGCAGGTTGCATCTATTGAAATGAGAAGACATGTAAACAAGTCTCAAAACCAGATATCCAGATCACCTAAGGCAACCCAATGGTAAACAAGATGGACCAATCTAAGACTCAACCACCTGGACTCCCTGAACTAGCAATGAAAGAGGATCTAGAAAAAAGTGAAAACAGAAATAACTACTCAGATAACAACAGAGATTGTGCTCATTGTGCAAGACATGATTAATAAATCTAGAGCAGATATAGATTAAAAAAATAGAGGAGCTGAGGGACATGATGGAATCCCAACATAGGAAATAAATGGAATCCATAAAACAGATGCAAGCAGATATCCAGAAGATTAAAATCTCCACTGAAAGTTTATGCAGCAAATGAGCCAATGTGCAGACAGAATTTCAGGTATAGAAGATAGGATTGCAATTACTGACCAGGAAAAGAAAAATTTCTTTGAAATAGTAAGGAACCATGAGAAATCAATGCAGCAGCTGCTAGATGTTGCAAAGAAGAATAACATAAGGCTAATCAGAGTCAATGAAGAAACAGGAGAGAGTGCAGATGACATTTTAAAAAGCTGTTCACAGAAGTAATAGCAGAAAACTTCCCAAGTAAGGGAAAAGAACTTGACATACAGATAAGTGAGGCATATAGGACTCCAACTAGTTATGATCACAAAAAATCTACACATGAGCATATAATAGTTAAGATTCCAGAAATCCAACAGAAGAACAAAATTCTATAAGCAGTTAGAGAAAAGAAACATATCACATACAAAGAAAGGCCCATCAGAATCATAGCAGACTTCTCAACACAAACTTTTAAAGGCAAGAAGAGCTTGGAGTGACATATTTCAAGCCCTAATGGGAGATAACCCCAAACCCAGATTGATGTACCCTGCAAAACTATCTTTCAAAATTGGTGGAGAAGTTTGGTCCCCACTACAAAAAAAAAAGGAAAGAAAAGAAATTGATGGAGAAATAAGATACTTTCATGATGAAGAGCACCTGAGGAACTTCACCAAAAGTCTTCTAGACTTAATAACTAAGTTTAGTGAAGTAGCTGGATACAAGGTCAACACACAAAAATCAATAGCTTTTCTGTACCCAAAAAAGACTCACTGAGAGAGAAATGGAGCAAAGAGTTCCTTTCACCATAGCATTCAAAAATTTGTAATATCTAGGAATCAACCTAATGAAAGAAATCAAAGACCTCTACTTTGAAAACTATAGCAATAGCACTCTGGAAAAATAGATCAAAAAGAATATCAGAAAATGGAAAGACATCTCTTGCGCCTGGGTAGGAAGAACCAACATAGTGAAAATAGCCATACTTCCAAAACTGCTATATAGATTCAATGCAATCCTGATTGAAATTCCAGCAGCATACTTCATGGATCTTAAGAAAACAGTCCAAAAATTCATTTGGAACAAGAAGATACCTGGAATAGCAAAAGAAATTCTAGGCAATAAAGACAAGGGAGAGAGTTACCACAATCCCCAACTTGAAACTATACTGCAAAGCTACTGTGATTGAAAATAAATAAATAAAAAAACACAGCATGGTACTGTTAAAGAAACAGACCTGAGGACCAGTGGAACAGAGTAGAAGATGCAGAAACAGCCAGACACACTCAGCTACACCATCTTTAACAAAGGAGCCAAACACCCTTGCTTGAGGAAAGATCGCCTCTTTAATAAATGGTACTGGAATAACTTTGTTGCAATATGCCAAAGATTAAAATTATACCTATATCTCTTACCATGCACTAAACTAAAATCAAAATGGATTAAAGATCTAAATATTAAAACAGAAACACTAAATCGGCTAGAAGAGAGGTTAGGTGAAACTCTTGAAGATGTTGGCATAGGAAAAGACTTTATGAACAAAGCTTCAGTTACACATGAACTAGCACAAACAATCAACAAGTAGGATCTCTTCTTATTAAAGAGCTTCTGCACAGCAAGAGAAGCCACCAACAGAGTGAAGAGTCAACCTACAATGTGGGAAAAACTTTTCACTAGCTGTTCCTCAGACAAAGGTCTACTATCTAGAATACATAAAGAACTTAAAAAAAAATCAGACTTCCCAAATTTAAAGACCCAATCTGAAAGTGGGCATCTGAAATGAACAGACATTTCTCAGACAAAGAAGTAGAAATAGCAAATAAACATTTGAAAAAATGTTCAACATCATCACTGGTCATTTGAGAGATGCAAATTAAAACAATGCTGAAAAACAACAACAACAACAATGCTCAGATTCCACCTTGTCCCAGAAAGAATGGCTGCTATCACGAAATCAACCAATAAGAAATGCTGGCAGGGCTGTGGGGAAAAAGAAACACTTGTCCACTGTTGGTGGAAATGCAGACTGGTGCAACCACTGTGGAAATCAATATGAAGATACCTCAAAGAACTAGGTTTGGAAGTCCCATTTGACCCAGCTATCCCCTGCTGGGTGTCTTCCCAAAAGAATTACAAGAATCATACCATAGCACCCATGTTCATGGGGCACAGTTTGTAGTAGCTAAATCTTGGAAACAGCCTAATTGCCCATCAGCTGGAGACTGGATAAAGAAGATGCGGGGTTTAAAAGAAAATAAAATGGAGTACTGCTCAGCCATAAAGAATGAGAAACTGGACACAGGTATAGCTAAATCGATGCACACTTGGGTGATACTCAAGTGAAATAAATAGAATACACATGTGTAAATGCTGAATAGTTTCTCTGGTGTGAGAAACTGAAAGTGTAAATAAGGACTAAAAGATATAACAGATAATGTGAGATAGGACGAAAGGGGGCAAAAGGAAAGGAGAAGTGGGAGAGGTAGGGCAAAGGAAAGGAGGGAATGGAATTAACACGAGAAAACAAACAAACGGAAAAAAGTCTTTGAAAATAGTGAGGAGTTGGAGGGGTTGAAGGGAGGGCAGAGGAATGGGGAAAAAATAAGAACCGAGATTATATAAAGGTGCAAATTCCCAATGATGAGGGTCATTATAGTGTATACCTAAAATGTACCAATAAAAAATTTTAAAATGTGGGGTATTTCAAGAATCTTTGTTTCGTTGTTGTTGTTTACTTGTTTTTTGGATTTTTTGTTTGTTTGTGACAGAATGTTGCTACATAGTTCTGGCTGGCCTTGAACTCACTTTGTAGCCCTGGCTGACTTCGAACTTCCAGTGATCCTCCTGCCGCAGGCTCTGAGTGCTGGGATTACAGGCGTGCGCCCCCACAGCTGACTAGAAGCTTTGTTTTTTTTAAAAATAACTTTATTGAGATATGACTTATATACCATAAAATTTAGTTGCTTTTAATGTACAATTCAATGGATTTTAATGTGTTTACAAAGTTGTACAACCATCCTCACAATCTTAGCGATTGATTTTTATGGTTTTGATCTCTTTATTACAAGAATGAACAATAAAATAGAAACATTTGCATGAAGAATGCAGTGAGGTGTGAGAGGGCAGGGGTGAGGAGGGTATGGGGCAGGGCAGCTCCCCAGTTCAGGGACGGAAGGGGAAGAAGCAGGCTGCCCCAGGCCTCCCCAGGAGGAAACCCTGACACTACACCAGGGCCTGAGGGCTGGGGCGGCAAGCGTGGGCGACGGCTCTGGGCCTGGCTCCTCGCAGCACTCTGGATAGCAGTAGCCAGCCGCCCGGCCCCAGCTGGGGGCATCAGGCGGTCGCCAGCTGGCCCTGCCCCTCCTGGCTGGTGCCCAGCTGTGGCACTGAAGGCTTGCTTCCGCCTGCTCTTGGCAAAGTTCTTGATCTGCTCGCTCACGGACGGGCGGAGGTTCTTACGGAGAGCGGTGTCCCCTGCCCGCCATGGGTGCTGCAAGGCCTGCTCACAGGCGAAACTCTCCTCCTGCTCTTTCTCCATCAAGTGCCAATGAAATCTTTGGCAGAGTCAGAATATCATCCCAGTAAGGAGAGTCAAATTTGTACTTGGCCTTCAAAATCTATGCAAAGAGTCATAGAAAAGGCGGGGCGGGGGTGTCACCGAACGGCAGGATGTCGGTGGCGCCCCAGTGGACCAGCAGTCCGCAGCCTTGCTGTAGGGTTTCTGGGCCAGGACCTCAGGGCCCGTGTAGCCTGGGGTCCCACAGGCTGTGGAAAGTACATTGCCTGGATCTTCCATCCCGGAGAGGCCAAAGTCAGAGATCATAATCTTGGCATCTTCCTCCAGGCTGCAGTAGAGCGGATTCTCTGGCCTGAGATCCTTGTGTACGATGCCCAGGTCGTGCAGGTACTGGACGAGGTCCAGCACCCAGAAGATGAGGCGGCTGGTGTCCCGCCCTGTGTAACAGCCTTTTTCATGACGCGGTTGAACAGTTCCTCACCTGACACCAGGTGCATGATAAGATAGAGGTGGCAGCCGCTCTCATAGTTGTCCAGGCCTACAAGGTTGGGGTGCTTGATCTTGTGCCCTAGGACAGAGCTCTCGTTCTTCATGCTGCCTTCTTTGCTCTCCAAGGCCTTGTTGGCAATGCATTTCATGGCCACCAGCTTCTGAGTCCTCTTATCTTCTGCAAGGATGACCTCTGGGAAGGCCGCCTGCTGTGCCCACAGGGCTGAGTGAGGCCTCGCTGCTGCTTGTCCTTACCTTGCTTGGGGCTGGTGTTCAGCACAATCTAATTTAAACGCATTTCCACCATCCTAAAAAAGAAGTCTTATTCCCATTTAGTCGGTCCTCATTTTCACCCTGGCCCTGGGTTACCACTTTCTGTCTCACTAGATTTTTCTTCTCTGGGCATGTCACATAAGTGGGATTATATATTATGTAATATACTGTGCCTAATGTTTTTAAAATTTGGCCATGTTGTAGCATGTGTTAGAATTCTCTTCTTTTGCTGCTAAATAGTTCCACTATAGAACTTATCATGTTTTATTTTTACTAGATGAAGGGCTGTATTAGTTTTCTAGGGCTGCTATAACAATTACTACAAAATGAGAGGCTCTAATAAAGATACTTGTCCTCTCACAGCTCTAGAGGCTTGGCATTCAGGTGTCAGCAAGGCGACGCTTTCTGAAGTCTCCCTCTGCATCTTCTTGTTTCTGGTGGATCCAGAAAATCCCTGGTATTCCTTGGTTTGTAAATACGTCCCTCTAATTTCTGTTCCCATCTCTACCTGGCCTTCTCCCCAGTGTGCCTGTGTCTTTATAAATTTCTCTCTTATAAAGGCCTCAATCACACTGGATTTAGAGTTTACCCTAATCCAGAATGACTTAAACTAATGATATCAGCAAAGGCTCTATTTTTCAAATAAGAACACAATGGGCTGGGGATTTTACCCCAGTAGTTCTGCTGCCTGCTTTGCAAGAACTAGGACCCAAGTTCAATCCCCAGTACCTTAAAAAAGAGAGAGAGAGAGAGAGAGAGAGAGAGAGACCCCAAATAAGAACACAGTCACAGGTTCTAGATGAGCAGCAATGGGGAGGGCAGGTTACTATTTAACCCAGTACAGGGACATTTGGGTTATTTTCACTGATATGAACAATCCTGCTATGATCATTCATATACAAGCCTTTCTGTGGATTTATGTTTTTCTCCCCTTTGGGACATATCTAGGAGAACTGCTGGGGCATGAGTCTGTGTTCACTTTTTGAGAAATTGGAGATCTGTTTTCCAAAGTGATTGCACCATAGTAACCTACTCTCCTCCTTTTTAAAGAATTTAGGGTCCTTACTTTTATTTTGAGAAGTACCAACTTTCTGGACCTTTTAATTTCTCTGCTCATACTTCAGATTTTATCTTTATTTGCTCATGTATTCATTCAATTGTTCAGCTAGCCATTTAGTCAGCCATCATTTACTTAAATCTTTCTCAATTCAAAGATAACTGATAGACTTTGGGGAAACAATTAAATGGGCCATGATCTTAGGTTTCTAGGAATTCACAGTATACATGGGGAGATAAATATAAATGTAAATAACTAAATATATAAAGTGGTAGAGAGAAAGGACATTCAAACCTGAAATGCCATTTAATGTTTTGTGTGGCATTGGAAAGGGACACTAGAGCCCACTGTGGCCCCATCTCTCTAAGGAGAGGGTAGAACCCAGGTTGTTGGCTGCTCCTGCAAGTGGGTCATGCATCGATGCCAGGCAGGCGAAAGCTCAGATGGACGTATTACCACTGACATTTTCTTTAAGAAGTTTTATTGTTCATAGATTTTTACTTTTATCAAGTCATTTTGCTTGTATGTTATTCTTAGATCCACACTGAGAGTGTAACTTTTTAAAAAGTTCTTTTAAGCTTCCTACATCAGTTCTATTCCAGTGGAACCACTCATCTGTGTTTTTAGTTTGGCGTATACGTCTATGACCTAATGATTCTCTTTATGCTTCCAGGAATATTTACTGCATGTCCATTCTTATCAGTGCAGCTCTTACTCATCAGTGTTAACAGCTCTGGGCTTTATCAGTTGATCTGTCACACACACTAGTCTTCAGACTGGCGAGAAGGGGCTTCCTGGCTGGGAGTGTAGCTCCGTGGCAGAGCACTTACCCAGCGTGTGTAAGGACCTGGATTCCATCCTCAGCACTCGCCAACGTGGTGGTGAGGGCTGTCCCCTAAAACAACTTTCCCATGACACAAATTTCCCATAAGCAGGGAGGGTGACATAGAGCTTTCCTATCACTACTGTAACAAATTACCACAAATTTAGTGACTTTGAACAGCACAGACATGTTACCTTAACAGTTGTGGAGATCAAAAGACTGAAATGGATTTCACAGGACTAACAGCACAGCATTGGCAGGGCTGTATCTCTTCTGAGAGCTCGAGGGGAATCTGCGTCCTGACATTTTCAGCTTCTGGAGGCCACCCACCTACCGGGGTTTCTGATTCCCTTCTTCCACCTTGAAAGCTAGCAACGTAACCTCTCAGGTTTCAGTCCAAGGTGTGGACTCTCTGAACGAGAACATGTCAGATGAACATGTCAGAGAAGATTGGCTTCCCAGGCATGGCTCTAGGACCTGGTGGGCTGACAGGGAGTGCCTCCATTTCTTCCACCCTTTGTATGGCAAAGGATGCGGACAAGGACGAGTTTTACTACAACACAGGGGAAGCTGATGAAGAAACACAGCCAGGCCGGGGTCCTCCCCGACATCCTTCTCCAATTTTCCTGCTCCTTGGAAAAGTCAGGTATGGAGGCCTATGAGTGGGCATTTCTCTCGTTTCCAGCAATGGGTGAAGTTCCCTCTTTTCATTTGTTGAGTCATTTCACCAGGAAGTTGTGAGATTGCAAGAGTCAAATCTGTGTGAGACTCATCCTGGCTCTATTCCCCTATCTGCCTCCACTCATCCACAGCCATGTTCTCAAGAACCTTTAAAATGGACTTTAACTTTATTTAAATATAGATTTCCCCCCTTTATTTAAATACAGATTTTGAAAGAAACATATCTCTTGTGCAAAGCAGAAAGATGCCTGGCCTTACCCTTGAGTATTCTAATTCAGTAAGTCTAGGGCAGGACCTGAGAATCCATATTTCAAAACTCTTCACCTATTATTCTGACGCACAAACACAGAGGAAATCTATTGATTTAAAGTAAGACACCCTGACATTTGTGTTAGGAATTTATGTTAGGAAATAATCTGGGGAAAGTGTTCTCTCCTTGGTATTTTTCCTATGGACACAATGGACACGTAGTGTGGGAAGAAGGGACTTTAGGGTTCAAATGTAAAAGTTCAGGAAAGGGGGTATATTTTTGTAATATCCCTTCACATCTGGATAGTATTTTCCAGCTTATAGGTGTTGTCATGCATAATGCCTCACTGATCCTCACAATAAAACCTTGAGGTCAGGTGGAATAGGAGAAACCGAGGCTCAGATCAGCCCATGGGTATTGCCTGAGGTGCTGCAGGAGGAAGCCAAAGTCTTCATCCTTCATTATATTTCTGTTGGTTCCTCTCCACTCTCCCCTGACATCTTATGTTTGGGTGGCATTTACAGTGTGACGGGGATATGCTGTCTTTAGGGTTTACTTTCCATTCGTGGGATACCTTTAGTCTTTCCCATACCTGGGCAGCAGCCATCTCGTAGCCATCTGGGTTCATGGATGGCAGGATGTGAATGCGTGTGCCCTGAATGAGCTGCGTGATGCGTTGGTTGCGATTCCGGAACTCCTCACACAGGAACTCCGACAGCTGCAGCAGTAGCTCTCGGCCCAGCACCTCATCACCATGCATGTTCCCCACATACTTGACTTCCGGCTCCACTACAAGTGAAGCGATGCACGGGCAGAAAAAGAAAAGATGGAGAAAGTTTGGATGTGCCATTGACTCTTACCTAACCTTGGTTAGGAGACCCATTCAATAACGAACGGAGGGAAACGTCAGGTTTTAATTGGGTTTTTGCTGAATTGCTAGTCAGTTGCCACTGCCGAAGTTCCATGAATTTGTGGCAGGGCTCATTAATTCAACCTCCACGATACATTTATGTTTATTATTTCTAATCCTCACAGAAAACCCCAAAGAAGGCACTTTTACAGAGTGAAGAAGAACCGGGATGGAAGAGGTGACGTGACAAGTCTGAGGACGTCTATCTAGCTCATGAAGGAACAGACGACCAAGCCCAGTTTGCATCTGCTGTGCCGTTTACCTCAGCACACTGCTTCTCAGAGGCAAATCTTTCAGGATGACGACGGTGTTTTCCCAACACCTCTCTTACCACGTAGCCTTGGTGATGGCATAACAATTGCTAGTCATTCCAGTTGAAAATTTAATTTTCCTGGCATGTAGGAAACTAAAATCCCTCCTTCATATCTGAGAAGGCCATGTCTTGAGGCACCACATAAGGTGTTTATTTTTATCTCAATACTTACTCTCCTCTTTGATCATTTTACCTGTTTAACTGAGAGATCATTCTTGCTCCCCTTTATTTTCATGTATTTATTTAATTTATTATTTAATTTTTTTGGGAGACAGGGTCTCAATATGTAGTTCAGGCTGGCCTGGAACCACTAAGCATCTCATGGTGGCCTCAAACTCATGGTGATGCTCCTGCCTCAGCCTACTGAGTGCTGAGATTACAGGTTTGGGACACCACAACCAGCTAGAGCTCCCTTTAAAAAAAAAAGGAGAAAAGCTCCTACCAAGTGACTTCTTTTCTACCCAATACTTTTCTGCTTCAATTGCTTTTTTTTGCTTCTGTGCTCTTCTTTTCAGTTCCAAATCCTTCTAATCCTTGTAGGGGCAATTCAAATGTTTCTTCCCTGGGACACCACCTGGGCTCTCCTTGTCGGGAATGAGTTCTCTGTTGACTCCCCTTTTATGGAACTTACTATTGTCTCCTTTTGGTTTTAGTTATTTTCGACATGCCCCATTTTCTGTACTGGACCTGGCCTTAGAAATGTATATATTTCTTAATTTTCTTTTGTACCAGGAATCAAACTCTGGCCCTTGCACTTGGGAGGCAGACAGCAGAACCATGGAGCCAAATCCCCAGACCATTCCTTAACTTTCTTTAGAACACAGTCCATTATTATTTATCTCAGTATTCTTACAGCGGTTTTTTCCAAAGGAATGCGTGGAAGGCTCACAGGGGTCATCTGACAGGTTTTCCACAGTGTGTGTTCTTTAATCATCTTAGATTATGTCAGTGATGGTGAACCTTCGAGAATCCAGTGATAACAGGTGCCGTGGATTTGCCACTGCTGGATGATGCCCTTAATTTGCTTAGGGTTTGAATGGCTTCCTTTTAGGAAAGGCTGGCGATAGTAGATGGTGGCTACCTTCCTTCATATCCCTTTTCAGTAAAATAAAATTTGGAAAAGCTATTTTAGAGTCCTTCAATCTCTCTTAATTAAAAATATTTTAATTTTATAAACATTAATTTCCATTTTATTAATTTATTAGCAAATAAATTAATTTTATTATATTTATTTAATTCATATTATATTATTAAATTGTATTTTACTAGTGCTTTCAGTACATAATTATTACATATATTGTGAGTAGCTAGTACATATACATACCACATCTTAATTATTTTTATGTTCCCTATCCCTCTACTTCATCCCTGCTCCTTCCTGCTCTTGGTCCCCTTCCCTCTTGCAAAAGCTCTATCTCCATTTTCTTTTCAATTTTTTTTTAAGAGTCTCACTGTGTAGTTCAGACGGACCTGGAACTCACTATGTAGCCCAAGCTGGTCTCAAACTCACAGCGATCCTCCTGCCTCAGCCTCCCAACTGCTGAGATCACAGGTGTGCATCACCACACCCAGTTCAATTTTTTTCATTCTCTCTCCCTCCTTTCCCTTCTCCTCCCTTGATCTCTTGTTCCCCTTCCCATTTGAAAAAGATCTCCTACTTCTTATTATATATTCTTTGTTTTGCTCTTTATTTCATATAAGAGCAATATTTAAGCTTGTGTGTGTAACATCATGGTCTCAACGTGCATCCATTTTCCTACAAATGCCTCAACTTTCCCTTCTTTATGGCAGAGCAGTACTCCACTGTGTGTCAGTACCACATTTTCTTTTTTTTTGTTTGGTTTTGTTTTTTTTTTTTGGCAGGGTTTGGTAACTAGGAATCGAACTAAGGTCCTTGAGCCTGCAAGGCAGGTGGCCAAACCACTAAGCTAAATCCCCAGCACCACATTTTCTTTATCCATTCATCTGTTGATGGACATTTTGGTTCAAGTCCCATTATCCCCACCCCGGGATCGTGGTGATAAAGCTCCCTTGAGGTCTCTCTGTGTCTGTCCAGCCAGGTTTATAACATTTTTCTGTAAAGGGCCAGGTAGTAATCCATTAGGCTTTGTGGGCAGCACTGTATCTCCCACAGCTATTCAACTCCTTCAGTTGAAGCAGCCACAGACGGTACAAAAACAAATAGGCGTGACTGTGTTCCAATAAAACATTCACCAAAACAGGTGGCTGGCCTTGGGCTGCGTGCAGTTTGCTGACCTCTGCTCAAAGTGACCTTTAAAAAATTTAATTCAGATCATACAAGTCTTTTGCTTCAAATTCTCAATGGGTTCTCACTTTACTCAAAGTAGAAGCCAAAGACCAGGCACTACGTGAGCTGTTGCCTGGCATCCCCAATCACCTGGCTCTACTCTTTTCCCCACCTCCCGGCCACTCTGTTTGAGACACAGTGTCTGCCTCACTGTTCCTCGCGGGTGCCAAGCATGCTCTGGCTCTTGGAGCATTTCATTTGCTCTTCCTTCTGCCTGTCACGCTCTCCTTCTCCTACATCAGTGTGGCGTGCTCCTGACAGATCTCCGTTCAAAACCATCACAAGGGAGAAGTCTTTCCTGAGCATCAACAGCCTTCCCAGCCCGTCCCCAGGCTCCATGGTACCCCATAGCTCCTGATTTAGCTTTTGCTCTAGCAGTTATTTCTATTGGACATAATATGTATTTAATTACCAATTTGTTGCAATTTTAGCCCGCTAGAATTCAGGCCCATGCGGTCAGGGTCTTTATTAGTCTTGGCTGTACTTCTAGAGTCTACAAAAGTTCTTGCACATATTAGGTGATTAGTAAATATTTGCAGACCGTCTGAAAGGAATGAATGGATGGACCGCAAAAGTTATGGGATTTCAGAAAAAAGAGGAACTGACGAGAGCTAGTGTAGGAAAAAGCTTCAGGGAAGGCCTTGAATGATAGAAAGAACAAAGGCAACAAAAGGAGGATATGGAGAGGGGGACTGAGGCCATGCTCAGGCACAGCCACAACGAACACGTGATCTGAGTAAAAGTGGGCGCCTGCTTTGTAAGGGCAGCTTACAAAGAGCTCCAAAGCAAGGCTCTTATCCCCATGTAAGAGCATGACACTCCAGACACTGCCTCTGTAGTATTTTGAGGTCCGCATGGTCAGGATGCTTTGGGTTTTTTTTTAAAGCAGAGTGAGTTATATCAGTGTTCAGAGAAAGTATCCTGGCATCTGTGTGCCAAATGGAAGGCTCGGAGAGAGACTGGCAACACTTAGGCATTAGGAGACGCTCTAGGAGTTCAGTGCAATAATTTAGGCACATTGTGATGGAGACAGGGTTGATGTGGGTGTGTGGAGGTGGAAAGAAAAGAGCAATTCGGGGTTGACCGTTAGAAGGAAGAACTGAAATAACTTGAACGTTATAACTGCTGTAAGTAAAAGCAGTAATTAGAAACAACTTTACTGACCGTGAGTATGAGCAGTTAATGACAACCATGGAATAGAATGTTATACAGCTAAAAACGACATTGAATCTATATTTATAGACATTGGTGCTATACACAACAGACTCAGAAATGAGAAAAGCGGTTATGGTATGATTCCATTTTTATGAAAAAATGCCTATGAGAGAGGTAGGTTTAACATGTATTTAAAAAGTCTGAAAGGACATACCTCAATGTGTTAACAATGGTTACCTATGAACGGTGAGATTATAGATGAATTTTTTCCTTGTCTGATTTCTAATTTTTAACCCAGGCATTGTTTTGATAATAGAAGTAAACTAACAACAACAAGAACAGCAACAAATAATTCAATAACTATAGGTAATATCCATCTTTCAAGTTCTGTCTCGGATACCATGCTCTACCACGCTGCCATTCCCAGGAGAGCTGACCCTAAACACCCTTCTTTCCTGGCAGAATTGGAAGGCTAATGATTTCTGCTCTGCTTCAGAGCCAGTGGATAATGAAAGATGACTAAAGAGAAAAATGGGAGGGAAGCGGGGAGCTGGGAAAGGAGCAAGACAGAAGATTCACTATTTACCATTTAGGTATTAAGGAAACAGAACCCAAGAATGAGGGAAAGGCTTATCACAGGTAAAGGGTAAAGGAAGAAGTCATATTTTAAAGGCAGAGGGTTCCATAAACCTTCCTAGAAACGATCCCGATGACCGGGTCTGTAAGGGAAGGGTCTTGCTCCAGACACTCCAAGAACTGCTCAGGACTTACAGAGCTCGTGAGTTCCAGGGTGGTCACTGAATTCCAGCACATAGAGGTGTCTCCCCTTCACGCTGCGCCCGATACTGTAGATCCGGGTGATGTGGGGGCATTGGTTGTGCACCTTATACAGCGTCCGGACGAGGTCGTCATAGTGGTGGTGACGAAAGGTCATAGGGGCAGCCAGCTTGAAGAGAAGGAGAAGGTACAGGAAGGCGGAGAGCAGTTCTGACATCTTTCTGGGTCTCTTCAAAGAGATCCACACAGCAATGTGCCCCCTACTCTTCAAATAAGCCTCTTTGGCGGTCAGAAACTAAGGGGCCAAGAAGAAATTCTGCCAGTTTCCCTCCAGTAAGCTCGATGTGACAGCACCTGAGAGGAGATTCGGGATTGTCCGCCTCAATGCCGAAAATTATTTATGTAGCTCTTGAATAGCCACTCCGCTTTTCACATTTATTTCTCCTCCTCTTTGAATCCTGGCAAATCTCTTGAAAGGTTTACTGATTAACCACACCATAAACAGACTTCAGTAAAGAGCTGCTTATAACCCTTTGACTCCTGGAGAATTTAAGAAACTTGGTTGTGCTGTTCCCTTTATTACACCTGACAAAAAAGAACTCTTGGTTCCTTCATCTACCCCATTACTGCTGCCACGCATCTCCCTGAAGCACAGCTATTTCATGTCCCTTTTTTCTCCCCTCAAAAATCTTTCAACAGAAACCATTATGAAAAAGAAAATAGCCCCAGATGTGGTGGTGCATGTCTGTAATCCCAGCACTTGGGAGGCTGAGGCAGGAGGATTGCTGTGAGTTTGAGGCCAGCCTGGGCTATATAATGAGTTTAAGGCCAGTCTGAACTGCATAGTGAAATCCTGTCTCAAAACAAAACAAAACAAAAGATTAAAATATAAGCTACTGACTGGGAGCAACCAGATGTAAATCACATATCTATACTATAGATCACACATCTATACTATATAAAAAACTCATCACCCTAGTAGGAAGATAACCCAATTAAAAATTAGCAGAAGATTTGAATATAGTGCTCCACAAAAGCAAAATACAAATGTCTAAGAAGCATATTTAAAGATGTATAACATTACTAGTTATTAAATAAGTTCAAAGGTTCACTTCACCTCCACTAGAATGGCTATAACTGAAAGAAAACAATAACATTTTTGGAGGAAACAGGAAGGCAATAGAACCCTCATATATCGCTGATAAGAATGTAAAATGGTGCAGCCATTTTGGGAGAGTTTTTCAGATTCTTAAAAGATTAAATATGTTCTTACTGTATAACTCAAAATTTCACTTCCAGACATCAATCCAAAAGAAATATTATGTGTATGAATGCATTCACACAGAAAATTGTGCATGGATATCTACAGCAGTATTATTATTGTTATTATTATTATTATTATTATCATCATTATTTTGAGACAGGTTCTTACTACATAGTCAAGACTGACCTGGAACTCACTATGTAGCCCAGGCTGGTCTCAAACTCACAGTGATCCTACTGCCTCAGCCTCCTGAGTGCTGGGATTATAGGTCTGGGCCACCACACCCATCATTACAGCAATATTATTGATAATACATAAAAAATGGAAAAAACCCAAATATCCATTTACTGCTCAGTAGATAAGCAAAATATAATATAACCATACAATAGAATATTACATGACAATAAAAAGAAGTGACTTACTGAACATTGTATAAGAGGGGTGAATCTTAAATATACTGTCCACTGAAAGAAGCCAGACATAATAGACTATCTTTTGTACGATCCGTGTCATATGAAATGTTTACAAAGGCCAATATATAGAAAATAAATGTAGATTAGAGATTGCTATGTGCTCTGTTCTCTTCCATTGATCCACTTGTCTGTTTTGTGCCAGTACTGTGCAGGTTTTAATCACTGTAGCATTGCAATATAACTTGAAATCTCAAACTGTGAGGCCTCCCAGAGCAGCATTATTCTTAAATTCAAACTGGAAACTACTCAAATGTACCAACTGGAAAATAGAAAAGTAAAACATGACATATCCATACAATTGAACACAGTTTTTTATTTACCAGAGAAATTTACTAAAAAATCACTTTAAAAGTGTGAATTTTGTGGTATGTAAATTATACCTCAGTAATTAAAAAGAAAAGTTTCAGTGGATTTCAATGCACTCTCACATAAAATCCCAATCCAAAGCTCGGCTTTCTAGTCCTTTCTACCAGGTCCACTTACGCATGCCTTATCACCCTGTCCCTCAGTCCAGTCGCTCTGACTACTGTCTCCTGTGCATGCTGTCATTGCTGACTTTCCTATTTTCACATGTGCTGTTTCCCTAAGGAGGTAACCTCACTCTGAATCCTGAGTCTCTCTCTCTCCTCTCCCTTGTAATTGCTGCTATAATCTTTGTTTCTCCAAAGGTATAGCTTTACCTGTTTTGCATTTAACTCACTTCCCTTGTCTGGTGTTACTGCAAAATGCAGTTATACTGAACCACTGTTTCTTCCCTGAAGCCTGATCATCAGCCTCTAGTGAGGAGCCTGGCACAAGTGTCAATGTTTGTTGAGTGAATGAATGACCAAAGCCATTGTTGACTTCCCCACCCCCCGCTTGCATCCAGGGAGGGTTTCCCAAGGAAAACCAATGCTTGTATAATTGGCCAGTAAAAGCACCTATATCCTCTTGCATATTTTGGGTGAGCACACAATATAGCCTGGCCAGAGTGGCTCATATTTGGTCCCGAGGGTTGGCCCAAAATTAATACTAAATTGCAGTACCACAGGGTTTGTTTCTTACACACACTGTTAACGCTCCATTATTTTCTCATGAGATCTTGCTACCTTGGGTGGTTAAGGCAGGGATCAAGAGAGAATGCCGAGAGGGCATCGCCAAGTCTTTGATCTAGGTAGGATAACCAGTCACTATTAAGGACTTGACTAGTGGCCCTAGGTAACCCAAAATTGTTCCTGTCTAGGAATAATTCCCATATATCTGATAAATATGCCTATAGTTCTTATGGAGCCCATACTAGATAAAGAGTGTGTGCCCTGAGGTCAGAGGGCCTTCAACACCTCTCAAACAAATTGGAAATAAAAAAAAAAAGGCATGGGCTTGAGTATAAGAAGGACATGATTTTAAATCCAAGTTCAACTCCCTCTTAGGCCATTTGATTTTGGGAAAATGACAACTTCTCTAAACCTTGGGGTTTTGTTTTGTTTTTGGTATAAGGACAGAGAAGTACCACTCTTCCCTCATGGCTATTGTGTGGATCAAATAAGATGATGCATGTAAGGTCCTTAAAAGAGTGCCGTAATAATAACAGTAGCAGTAGTGACAGTAGCAGCAACGTAATTATTCACACAAGTGTCTTGCTAGGTGATGGAGTAATTCACAATTAATTCATTCAACAAATATATATGAACGCTTTACTACTAAAAGCCAAAAACTTTACACATCATACAATTTTCAGTCTAGGAAAAAAAAAAAACAAACCAACAAAGGGCTTGGCCCAGGTGGTGCTTATATTCCAATAAAGAGACACGCAATCGAGAATGGAAAAGCCAGTCTCTCTCCTCACAGACAAAGAAAGAGGCTCAGCACTGAGGTGAGAGTGATAGACATGACCACGTAGGATACTAAGCAGGCTCACTCACCTGGTTCTTTTGGGCATGGGAGAGCTCAGGGAAGGCTAACTGAAGCACATGTGAGAGGTGAACTAGTTTATTTCTAGACTCCTGCTTCTCCCAAAATGTTCATGTCCTAATTTCAGAAACCTGTGACAATGTTATGTTATACTGCCAGGGGGAATGAAATTTGCAGATGAAATTGAGGTTGCTAATGAGCTGTAATGAGATGAGGAGTGTCCAGGTGGGCCCTGTGTAACTGAAAGTGTCTTTGTAAGTGGAAGCGGGAGGTAGGAGAGGCAGAGGCAGAGCGATGAGATGTGAGACTCAAGTACCTGCTTGCAGGCTTTGAAGATGGAGGAAAGGGGCCATGAGCCAAGGAATGTGAATATTCTCTAGAACTCTAAGGTTCTATAAGGTAAGATTAACTATAAGATTAACTATAAGGTAAAATTTTTTTCCTAGAGCCTCCAGAAAGGAGCACACCTTGATTTTAGTTCGGTGAGACTCAATTCAGACTTCTGATCTCTAAAGCTGTAAGATAATATATTGGTGTTATTTTAGGCCACTACCACTGTGGTCATTTTTTTATCATAGCAATAGGAAATTATATGCCCCCCAACTAACAAGTCTGTGCTCTTGCAGGGAGGCTGAAGAGAGAGCTTAATTATCTGACATCTCCCCAGGATCTTGACTCACACCTTGGGGAGCCAGCCCTACAAATGGCTGTGTCAGCCGGGACCAAATGATGTCATTAGAGTTCTCTCTCTTTCTCCTCCTCACTCTCACACAGGCATTTCCTTGTTTCTGGGTTCACAGTGTTCTCAAGCTGTCTCTGTTTGGACCATCAAGTCTCCAGTTTGCTCTAGGCAAATGTTAATAATGCTTCATAATTCGACATTGCCTTACAGGCTGCCAACCACTTCCGTATGCATTCTTCACAAAAGCCTGGGAAGGAAGGTACTCTAATTCGATTTTAAAGGAGAAATTTACTGACGTCACATAACAAAAAGTAGTGGAGGTGGGCCTGAATTCTCCACCAGTGCAGCTGGTTCAACTTTCCACTCAACTCACTTCAGTGAGTACAGCTGTGGGACAGGGATGGAAACCCAACCAGAGAAATGTGAGCAGAGAAGGCTTCATTAAAATGGGAAAGGGCTGGGAGGAGATAGAAGAATACTTACCCATAAGGGAAGGCATCTTCTCTCTTCCTTCCCTAGAACCTACACAAAGGATAGAGAAGGTAGTGGAAGGGGGAGAGTGACAGAGAAAGGCAAAGAGCAAGAACAAGAGAGAGAGAGAGCCAGCCTTGTGTAGGCAAATGAACCAACCTCCCCAACCCAGACTCCAGTTACCTTGGTTATACAGTTTTTTTCCTTGCATCTTCTAGCAGTAATTTGAAGAGAAGTCTCAGTATAGCTTCACCCTGTTTGGTAAATGTTAGTTCAGGGGACCTTTGTAGGTCCAGCTTGATTTCAAATCACCAGGTACTCTTCAGGAGTGCCAAGGGTGATGAGGGACTAGAGCAAAGGGAACCTGGCTGACTCCAGTTGGTCCTCAGTTTTACCCATCCTGGTTGCCTCAGTCAGTGTTTGGCTTCTGTCTGTAATTACCTTCTTCAAGTGTTTACTTACCTAGTTGTTTGTTGGCTGTGTCTGCTAATGAAAAATATTATTATTATTTTTTTTTTTTTTGAGACAGAGTCTCACTATGTAGTTGAGTCTGACCTGGAACTCATTACGTAGCCCAGGCTGGTCTGAAACTCACAGCGATGCTCGTGCCTCAGCCTCCCGAGTGCTGGGATTACAGGTGTGCG